AAATATTTTTCTTCCTTTGTTAATTTTGTTATTTATATTTTTAAAATAACTGAATCTTGAAACGTCCTAATTTTAGAGCAAAATTTTAAAAATAAAGGAGTTGCTCTTAATATCCTTAGTGGTGAAGAGCCACTTTATAAAAACTTAAATTGTCCATTGATTCAGAAATATGATATACATCACATTTCTTCGTAAATGTCATAAATTCATTACGAGATGCATCTTTATAAAATTTTAATTTATAGAAATATACTTATGTACTAATCCTTTACTAAGTTTGACATTTTATAAAAAAAAATGCAATGAAATAATAAGTTTATTAATGTAATAGGTCATTTAAAATAAATATACTATCATAATAAATTTGTTATCAATTAAATTATATATTAATAAAATTAATATGATAAAATTGAAATATTATATATTAGAATTAATCTAGAATTGCACTACTATAAAAATGATAAATTACAAACTATAATATTATCTAAAATTCATAATATAAATATTATCAAATACTATTTGGTATATGTAATTTCTCAGTCATTCTATGCATTTTGTGTTGTAATGTCGTTTGTGCCTCGAATATAATAACATCTACCGAGGCCATTTCAAGAGTTTCATCTGAAAACTCTCATCTCTTTATATCTGCTTGCGCAATAACTTCTATACGGCGACATGCATGTAACACATCAACAATATGATTCACCCTAGTCTATTCCTCTTCTAATATTTTCTAATGAGCTGTTCTAGGTGGATCTCCATAAACATCTTGTGTCAAGTAAGCATGTGACACTTTAAATATCATTAGATGCAGCTGAATAAAACTATCCATAATCGAGGATTTGACACGCTTTGTGCTTCCTCTGATACTTGATAATTATAAAAATTATCATACATTACTTCAACATCTCTATGAATCATAGTGGGAGGAACAGACATGGATGGGTCTTTTAAAACAATTTGTAGAAAAATAAATTGGCGTATGATACGCTCAGTAAAATGTGGATAGATTAGTCATAATTCAAAAGCCAACCATCTAGAGTAGAAAGTTATGTCATCCAAAGGATGCATCTGATGGGGATCGTCATATGGTTGAAAGCGTATATCACCGGTTGCAGTGCGGTCAAGAAACACTCTGAAGAGTTCGGTCGCCTAATTCTCTCTTAGCGGGATGAATGTGCAAGCACATGGTTGATCGCGTGGAAAGTGCTGAAGGATTCATGCCTGAAAATGGTAAAGATGAAATATTAGTAACGACGTAGCATAAGTGTTAAAAAATATTTGCAACAGCAAATGTGCTGGTATATTAGCGCGCATGCAATTTGTTTTCATATGTTTGGTCTTCCAAAGATAATCTTTAGTTAACTTCGAGTACATGCAAGCCAAACAAGAGGTTTTCTAGTTGTAACCATGAATGCACTCGAATTCAACGAAGTAGCTAAGGTAAACCACATCGATGTAATAAACCCTTTTGTCTATAAATATGGACGTGTCAACCAAATATATGAGGTAAGACCTCAATGCACATGCTCTATGATGCATAACATGTGCATCATCGCCATCGGCTTCCACTACCGCATCTAGGTGGTGTATATACAACTTCTCCAAAAATGCAAATTTAGCATGATAACCTCTGGCGTCTTCCAACTCCTTTAGTGCATCATTTGGATCAACTCCCAAATAGGTCATCATCATCTTAAGACAAAACAGTAACAATCAAATTCAAATGAAAAACATTCAAAATCAAACAATGCATACATAATACGGAAGCGTACTTCCGTATTTTTGGAAAATTAAATTCAAACAAAATATAAAAGTGCAATTTCGTATTTTCTTAAAACTCTTAAAATGCAAAAAATTGCAGAAAATGGAGAACACAAAATGGCAGAAAACGCATGCCTTAATAAACTATCTAACTATGAGTGTAACTATTTATATAGTAATAATAAATAAAAAGAAGAAAATGAAAAAACTTATCAAATATGTAGTGGAAGCACTTGGATTGAATGGATGTTGAGAAGTGATCGATAAAATACTTGGATTGAATAGAGTAGAAAAACTTGAGCAATGACTTAAGAAACAATGGATTTGGGGTATCAGAGAAGTGATTTGGTATTTTTGCTGAAAATGAGGAAGGGGGAGGTTTGACACGTATTAGACTTAAAATTCGTTCGGAAGTATATTTTCATACTTTTTATAGAGATGCATCTCCATACTAATTTTTTTAAAAATGAAAATGTGACTCAGTTACAATGAATGATGTGTGGATGAAGTGAGTATGAAAGTACATCTTTATATTCTTAGAACATTTTTAATTTTTCACAAAGATGCGTGAGCACCACTAAAAATGCAATAAACAATCCTCAAAATAAATCTCTCACATAGTTACACTCACAAGTGATTAAAAAGTGATAACGTGTGGATCCTTTTGTACAACCAAACGGGGAGGTGTGGGGTTTAGAGAAAAAAAAGTCAAACGTATTAAAAGTTCATAGATGAATTCAAGAAAATTATTAATCAATTAATAATATACATTTTAAAAAAAAATATTGATCTATTAACATGTTTTTATTTTTTCAAAAGATCATTATATTAAATATTTTAACTAATTAAAAAAAATTTACAAAAAACATTTTTTTTTAATAATCTCGTTGAAATAATTTTCTCTCTCTCTTTATCTCTCTCAAGTAAAGCTTTTGAAAAACACTTATTATTATGTAAATGTTACAATACCATTACATCAATTCATAAATAAATATGATACTTGCTAAAGCAAAATAGTTGAGAGAAAGACTTTGTTTGTGTGACATTGTGAGAGATTATATGTATTTTTTTATGGAATTTGCAAATTCTCTTCCCTCAATTTTAGAATCGAGGTATTTATAGAGAATTCCTTAAGTCCGGATTAAAAAGTCAAGAAACAATTTTCTTCATTCTACGATGAGAAACATATGGGTAATGGTGAACTCTTTCTCCCTTAAGTTATAGGGGAGATAATTTTTCTTTGTTTTGGATATCTCATAGAACACACATCATTAATGGAAAAGGTCAAGGATCACAAATTGGTGAGATGTTGTAACGACTCATATATATATATATATATATATATATATATATATATATATATATATATATATATATATATATATATATATATATATATATATATATATATATATATATATATATATATATATATATATATATATATATATAGAAATAAGGGTTATTATTTGGTATTGATACAAACATAAGTGTCTATTGGCATCGCTTACATACTTGACCATTTCTAAAACAATAAAAAAAAAAACCTATGGTACAAAATAGGAAAAGTGGCAAAACGATAAAATTTAGGATCTAAGTACAATATTCTTCATTATACAAAATACACAACGGAAAAACATAATCTAAGTTTCTTGTGAAACATCCATGCATAGCTCCATTTGAAAATTAAACCTACAAACAATACTTGAAAAATAACAACAATATTAGAGTGAGATAATAATCTCAGTGAGTTTTCCTATCTTATGGGTTCACTCAGCTCTACAGGGTTCTAATCAAATTCTAACTCAAGTCAAAGAAAAAATGGAAATAAGACTTGAGCTTACAAAATTCACAATGTATGGAAACATATCTCTTGAGTTCATTAACTAAAACTATCACAAATCTGAAACCATACTAAGGCAAACTTCCTCGTCCTCTCCTACGTCTAAGACTTTCAGCACGGGTAACGGATCCTTGTATCATACTTTGACATACGAAATGGATTCAAATTCAAAAAGCTTCCCGCATGAATCTTCGCTTTTCATGGGACCTCTGTCCATCTCAAGCCTTTTATCTGTAGGCTCCATTCGTACACCGGAACTCAAATCTGTCAAAGTAATGGTGCGTACATCCCAAAGAAACTCTACATAAGTATCAGCTCTTTGGAAGACACAAGTAAGAGGTTATTTTCAACTATGTGATAAATATAACAAAACATGATTGTATTCGACAATCACAAGGCAATCACCTTCAACTTAATCATAAAGCAACACACTAACCATACATGTTTCATATAATGCATCTCACTCACAACTATGATAACCATCTATCCATGACACACACATAGTATTTATACAATAATTATCTTTTTTTTTTTTTCTATTTTACCCTTAACTTTTTATTAATTTATTTGACATTTTTTCCTCTCTCTCAATATAATAAATAACTAAGAGTAGTTTTGATAATATAACAATCAATACTACTTTAAACTTTAAAATGACATTTAAAAATAAACAAATTTTATTTTTGAAAAAGTGACAATTAAAAAAAATCAAAAAAATACTAATTATATCAAGAATCTAAAAAGAGAAAGAGAGTAATATATAATTTTTGTTTACCGGAGCATTTTTTCACGGAACGGTTGATTTTTTATTTATTAATTGTATTCTTTTAATTAGATAATCTAATTAATACAACCGTTTGACTTACAATGTATTTTCAAAAATTTATATACTCTCTATTATAAATAAATTTGATTTTTTTAAATATATCTAACAATTAATATATCTAATTTATATATAAATTAAATACATTAATTATTAAATACATTATAAAAGTTAAATTTATTTATAATAATGACCGAATATTACAAATAACATGTTAAAAATTATATTAATTATTTGAAATTTATATTTTTTAGATTCTTTTGTAACTTTCGTTAATTTAATTAAAATTAATTAACGCATATAAAGTTGTAAAAATAGTATTATTATTTTTCATCAAAAGTATAGTAATATTAATTTAAGATAAAGAAATCTTAAAATACGTGCTAGTAGAGTAGTAGTATATAATAATGGAATGAAAGATGATATATAATGATATTAGCACCGACGGAAAAAAGCATAGTAGTCAGCGCCTCTGTAACAGCCAGAAAGACTCTCACTGTCAAACTAAACACTTCACAAATTCATCAAAAACCGTTGAATTGAAGAAACTCAAATTAGGGTTTCACAACTATGGAAGATTTCAGATCCAAATCGTACGGCGATGGAAGGATGCAAATTGAACCCTACTCAGCAGCAGCAGCACCTTCAAACGGAGCTACAGCTAGTGGTGTTTACGGAATGCAAGATCTGCGTTGTTACAGTGCTTCCTATGCTTCCTCTGTTCATCCAGCACAAACACAGAACCAGATGAGTAATAACAGCGATGTTAAGTTCAAGAAAGGAAAATCGACAAACGGTTCGGCTTCGAAAAGTTGGAGCTTTAGTGATCCTGAGATGCAGAGGAAAAAAAGAGTTGCTAGTTACAAAGTTTATTCGGTTGAAGGTAAACTCAAAGGTTCGATTAGAAAGAGTTTTAAATGGATTAAAGATAGGTGTAACCGAGTTGTTCATGGTTGGTAGTGTAAATTTTTATGATGATGATGATGATGATGATGCTTAATTGAAATTGAAATTTGTGAATTGAAATTAAACCTAATTTAGGCTATGAGTTAGCATCTGAATGGAAATTTCAATTAGGGTGTCTTATATATATTTATATGTATGAATAATTTAATTGTTTGTCTTGTTTATTTTATTGGTAAGTGATTGATTTGGATTGTAATATGGAAGAGAAATTGTGATTCATGTTTTCTTCAATATTTAGTTTGTTTATGTAAAGAGTGTAAAGTGATAATATTTGCTTATTTTTGTTATGAAATGGAAAGGTTTACTAGTAGTCTTTTTAACATTCATGCATGTTGGTTAATCACTATGTAGAGATTTTAGAGGTGAATTTGTTTTGGTAAACAAGTGAGTGTGAAATATGATATATTGCAGTTCTTTCTAGAGATAGTTAATATACATGACCAAGTTTCATGAATGATTCTTCATAATTTGCAGTGTTGAAGCAAAGGAGTAGTTCTTTTTTGTATGAGTGATTAATGAGATTTGATATCATGATTCATTAAGCAACTAGTTCATTAAATGGAATTGTAGGAGTAAATCTTATTCTAGATTGCCTTCAGTTGTATTACCATTGAAACCAAAGACTCGCTGATTGTTAGCTGAATTCTCTACTTAAATCATATGATAGGGAAGTAGGCATATCAACTGAACTCGAACCCACCTATACTCACTAGAACCGAGTTTGACGGGAAAACCCCGTTTTAACTAGGTTTGGATTTAGGTTTTTCCCAATTACAAAACATGGGGATGAGTCGCAGGTAATGAGACATTAGTTCTCATCTGAATACACTCCGCTTATATCTTAGTTTTGATAATTTCATATATTAGTTGTAGTGTAATTCTTTTTATTTTTACTTTATTATTTAAAATATATGTTTAAAAATTTTCAATATTATCTAACTTTTTTATTTGTAGTGTAATTTAATATTAAGGAAAAAAAATTATTTCTATTGAAAAAATTGATTATCAGACTTCAATCCAAACACGTTTGGGATAGGGTCTGGTTCAATTTTTCATCCAGGCGAGATCCAGATGGAGTATGAATATTTATTAGAGATTTGAATTTGAATTTTAAAAAAAGTAAAATTGTCTCTGTTTTGCTCCGTTACCGTGCCTATCACTGGAATCATCTCAGTCAAAATAGAAAAACCAATAGGTTATTCTCCTACCATTAACTCTCTTCGATCTATTTATAAATTAAATTTTTTGGTTTTAAATATAAGCACATTTAATGTATTTATTTTGAAATTATTCATGCATAGTTACTTAATTCCTTAACATTGCGAGTAAATAACAATTCAATTAAAGATAAACAATTTAATTAAAGATATATTAATAATTGTGTTATATCTTTTATATGAAATCAAGAAATTTGACTACATCTATTATTAAAAGTTGTTTTTTTTTTTAATAAGGTTGAAATAGTATTTTATTTTTTTCTTCTTATAAATAAGGTTGAAAATAGTACAATAAATTATCGTAGATGTTTTGAGAACAATGTTCGAACTTTTCAAAGTACTGAGTTACTTGTCTAATAGTAATAGTAATCAAAACAGGCAATGTGTTGCTTATGTTGCTTTTATTTAGTTGAATGGATATCTTAGTAGACATTCTTTGATGACACTTCTTGCCTTTGGTGTCTCTGTTGTCTCTTCACATTAGATATCAAGGATGTTAGATGCAAGCATCATAAACTAAAAATGAATGACCAACTAAGGACAGAATCAAGGGTCATTTAGCTATTAAGAGATATAAAATTTAGCTTGACGCACTCCATGAGCCACTACAATTTTCAAACTTTGAAATACATTGGTAAGAATATTTTACATGATATTGGTTTTCAAGTATAGAAAACAAAACGGTCCTAGAAGAATGAAGAGCAGAGGTGTTGAGAATGATATGAAGTTAAATGTTTTCTAAATTAATAAAAAAAAAATTATATTTAAATTTAGAATGTTCAGTCTTAATTCAACAATTAAGAATACTCTCGTATGTGTGAATACGGAAAATTATGATTACCGTGAATATGTTCTCATAAAACAATTGATGAACTAGTTAGGTTTTTTTTTCTATCCACCTAGGTTAAACTTATTTTTAAATAGAAAACTCATAAATTTTTTTAATTTAGAAAATGAGATCATAAGCCATAAAAAAAATATAGATTTATTTAACTTATTTAAATAAATATGAATAATTTTATTATTATTATTATTAGTGTATTCTAAATTAAAATATAAAATATATGATTTGGATATTTTAAAATAATTTATGAAAATAGACCAATAACATGGTATAAACAATTGTTTTCATAAATTCTTTCAAACAAATGCTCTTACAAAATTTATGTTATATATAAGTTTAGACAAATCAATAGAAAGAAACTTTTAATTTTATTGATTTTTTATTTATTAGCCTATTGCAAAACTTATGTTACTACATAAGCTTAGACAAATTAATAAAAACAAATTTCTAATTTCATGAAGCTTTTTATTTGTTAGTCTATTTAAATATCAATTGATTTTTTTTTTTTTACATATATTCAAATGAAATAAAATTTAAGTAGATTAATAATCAAACCTTAAAGGTCAAACTATATTTCAGACTTAAACTTAAACTTTTTTAACAAAACATTTAATTTTGGCAAATTTTAAATGGACTCAGCCTATTCATCCCCTTAAATATAATGCATCTTACATTAAGTCATTCTTTACAAGAGAATTGATTTTGTGATATGATGCCTGGAATTTTGCAGAAAACAGCATGATTGAGCTGTATTTAATGATGTTGACATGATTATTAGAGGCACTTTTGTTTTTTATTTGTGTTATAAGTATGTTAATAGATGATAGTCTCAATTTAAATGGATATGTTTGGATAGTGATTTTTCTTGTATAAATTTGTTTCTTTTGATAATCTCATAATCAATCAACAACCGGCATCTTTCTGTATGTTTGTCTGGATTTGAACCTATCCTGTCTTGCAAGTGTATTATAAATCAATAATACAAATCAATAATACTTTCTGTTGAGTGGGACACATTCAATGAAGTTGTTTTTGCTATAAACATTAATTCCATCAATATGTTGCTCTTGATTGTACTATATATAGACAATATACTATACAGTGTACACGGTTAGTTCTGCATAAAACCACACAAACTATCTAACGTCTGAAACCTAACAAAATACAATTCATTGCCACCTAATAGTTGAGAAGAATATAATACTAGAGAAAGGCAAGGGACAATAGAGCTTAAAAAATGGATACTACAATACCACAAGGTTAAATACTCTTGGTCAGTAAAAAACAATATAAGATTAAAAAAATACCAGTGGCTTGAATATAATCCCATCTAAATATTAAAAATAAAAGAATAAATTGAGGTATATGACAGCCATTTTGGAGACAAATCTTAAGACAACGTCTAAATATCATCTTATAGCATATCAATTTTCTCGTTGCATTAACTTTTCACTACCAAAATATTAAGAATTATAGCATATCAATTTTGAATTAATAATAATAATACTAAAATGAATTTCTCCTAAAATGTAAACTAAATATAGTACAACTTTTAACAATTTCAATATAACTTTCTTGGTTCCCGGTGACATTAATATAATTTAGAATCGAACTTAGTGAAATAAGTTCCCATTCAAGATTAATAGCTCTAAATCTAGTTTAATGACAACCTTTTTACAGATTAAAATCATTTGTCATACAGGAAAGCTGATGAGATAATATGATTTCAGCTTGATAGAAACCAGACAAGGTAAAACGTTCGAGTTTCAATTACCGGAATAATTTCCAGATACTTGCATAGTGAAAACTAGAGGAACTTATCAAACAAGAATACAATGTCAATGGCTAATTACATTTGATAATTTTGACCTTTGTGGTCCACGTGACCTGTAAACATCTGGTATACCAATACAACAACTCACAGGAAAAGATGTTAAAACTTTTGGTGTTCCGGCCAGAAGTGAAGCGCCAATTAAACCTGAACTTCACAGATAAGCACTCGATTGAGCAGACGAGTTAGCAACACAGACCTGGATTTTCAAGTTCAGATCCAAACTTCACAGCTCAACTTCACAACATAAAGCAACTTTTGCTTTTGTGATGGCTATCAACTCACAAGATGAGAAGGTGAGATATTAATAATGGGTCCTCTCGTCATTTTCTAACTGCAAACCGTCCATGCCTCTAAGGGCACTTTCATAATTATTGGCATGAGAAGCATTTCTTCCAGCCCGTGTTACTCTCTGAGGATCAGAAGACCCGATCGGTGAACTTCTTTGCCCACCCAAAATTCGGTGTGCTGCTCCAGGGCTAGCCTCAGCAGTGCGTGTACGGACATCTGATTCAGCACCAACAAATGCATCACGGCTACTAGAAACAGCAACTCGCCTGGATGATCCACTTGACTGACCCAAGACATTGGCACTTGAAAGCTGCAAGATCACATATGAGGCAGTTACTGGATTTGCAAAAACAGAGCTATTGTTGTTGCAAGTGAAATATGGCATAGAATTAATTTTGGAATCATCTTACAGATCCATAACCAATAATTATGAGTGGAAAAGGAACTGCATACAAAATATGTGCTCTAAGGCTTTGTTTAGGGGGAGGGGGCTTTGGAGAAAGGGGAGGGGGATTTACAGAAAAGGGAGGGAGGGAGGGAGGGAGGGAGGGAGGGCTTGGAGAAAAGGAAGGGGAAAATGGAAGTGGAAGGGATGACAGTGCCCACCTAACTACCTTGCATGAGAGCTCACTTTTGTCCATAGTTAGAATAAAATCTTCATATATGTTGTAACTAAAAAAATAAAAGTAGGAAGATTTTAGAGCTTTGGCAAAATCTCCATAAGCTTTCCTCTTTTTGTAATACTCTCAGCAAACAAATTTATTAATCATAAGCATTCTTCTCTCCCTATTTAAAAAATTTCTTGTAAAGATGAGAAATTTCCCTCCCCTCCTTCCAAATCCCTTCCCTCCTTATTCCCAAATAAAGTTTAAATGGCTCAGCAAAACATACTCAATACCAGCAGAATATATGGTGGCTGAAATTCTGTTATGGGAAACTTACAGTATTCAAAACGGGTCCTGACATTCTGCGCCTCGAGGAATCCACTGATACCAAACCAGGGGGTTGCCCTTCTTCTGCTCCTGTAAGAGAAAGAACATTAAAAATGTCTAGCTAAAAAGCTAAGAAGATCATATAAACTTGTGAAGAAGTTCAAGAGACGTGTTATTGCAAAAATTACTTCAATGGGCAGTTGAAAAATACTGAGTAAATACAATATCAGAAAGCAAAGATTGATCACATCAGACAGTAAGCCACAAAGGCATGCTAACGTGTATAAATAAATATAAAAGAAATCACATACTTCAGAATTTTTTTGGGTCTTAATTTTAGGGCAAGGAGATGGCGACCTATTTCAGTGCACGAAAAGCCACCAGGGTCAAAAAGCACATAGAGGGCTCACATTTATCTCACCCCATAGACATGAGAAGAGACTCAAATCTGCAAACTTATTAGGTACAAGATCCTACCTTACTAGAACTACACATGACCAACCCCCCTTTAGGTTCCATTTCAAAATTAAATTCGCTGAACAACAATGTGGTAAGTGAACAACATCAGCAGCAGCAACAACAACCAAGCCTTATCCCACTAATTGAGGTAGGCTACATGGATCACATCAGACAGTAAGCCACATAGGCATGCTAACATGTATAAATAAATATAAAAGAAATCATATACTTCAGAATTTTTTTGGGTCTTAATTTTAGGGCAAGGAGATGGCGACCTATTTCAGTGCACGAAAAGCCACCAGGGTCAAAAAGCACATAGAGGGCTCACATTAATCTCACCCCATAGACATGAGAAGAGACTCAAATCTGCAAACTTATTAGGTACAAGATCCTACCTTACTAGAACTACACTTGACCAACCCCCCTTTAGGTTCCATTTCAAAATTAAATTCGCTGAACAACAATGTGATAAGTGAACAACAGCAGCAGCAACAACAACAACCAAGCCTTATCCCACTAATTGAGGTAGGCTACATGGATCAAATTACGCCATAATGTTCTATCCAAGACCATATTTCTATCAAATCCATTAATCACAAAATCTTTCTTGATAGCTTCTGTTATAGTTTTTCTAGGTCTTCCTCTACCTCTAATTGTTTGAGCAATATCTATTTGATTTACTTTCCTTACAACACAATCTACAGGTCTTCTCTCTACATGTCCAAACCATCTAAACTTATTTTCCATCATCTTTTCCATAATACGTGTTACCCCAGCACTCTCTCTAATGTGATAAGAAATAAAAATATTGAAGGCCCATCTAAACTTATTTTCCATCATCTTTTCCATTATACATGTTACCCCAACACTCTCTAATGTGATAAGAAATAAAAATATTGAAGGCCTATCACACTTATGGGAGATCTTAAATAAAGTACCTGTATGTCTGTCAGCATTGGTAACAGCAGGTGGCATTGCAGAACTGGTTCCAGTACCAGGAATCTAAACAAAGGTGCACCTATGAGTTACATCTATTTCAGATGAAATGATAATCACAACTGGGGTAGAAAAAGATTGACACTTACGATGGCCCGTGCTGGAGGTGTGGCAAGCTGTGATTGCTGATACTTCAAGATGGTCCAGTCAAACACGTAATCAAATTGGAATCCTGTTGAAATGTCAATTTAATAATATATGCAAACTCAAACAAAGATCATACATAGACTCAACTGCAGAGTTTAAGAGAGTATATAAATTACAAATTTAAGAAATGAGGGAAAAGTTATCCTTTCTATACGATAATATTTTCAAACCTTCACGAATAAACAGGTCACGGAATATCCTTTTGAGATACGCGTAATCTGGCTTGTCATCAAACCTTAATGAGCGACAGTAATGGAAGTAAGATGCAAATTCTGTTGGATAACCCCGACACAAGGCCTGGAATAAGCAGTAAATTCTTATTACAGGTCATGAAGGAGTGGATAATATAAGCACTAGAAAAGACTGAATAAAAATTTAACTTACTTCAATCGATGTAGAAACCTTTTTTTCACTAATTTTTTCATACTTCTGTTTCTTGGTTCCTGCTTTAAGTCCCTGCCAAGGAAGACTACAAACAAAGAAAACACAAATTAGATAAAGTACATGGTGCTAGCAGACACCAAAGTATAGGTAGAAAGTAATAATCACCTCCCTCTCAAGAAGTACATCAAAACATAACCAAGAGACTCTAAATCATCTCTTCGACTTTGTTCTGTGCATCAATCACCAGTGAAGTAGAAGCAATATTAGGTAACAATTTAATCATTCAAAATACAAGTTTAATGACGCGTCATAACACACACCAATGCCAAGGTGAGTATTCGTGCTAGCATATCTTGCAGTTCCGGTCAAATTTTTATTTTCCCTGCAATGTTGATGATTGAACAGATTAGACAAATCGCCCCAAAAATTATTTTCAAATAGTAGCAGCCAGGTGTACACTCAATAATTGACCGAAATTTTGATGATATTGCCAACAAGATACCTGACCCTAGTAGAATCTAGAAACCAGAAACTTAAGTGAAAGGAAGTGTTAAAACAGTATGCATATATTACACTTCCCCCCACCAAGGCACCAACCCATCAGCTAATAAATTATATATCTTACAAAAACAATGGTATCAGTGCAAAATGAAAAGTTGATCACAAATATGAATGGTGTTGGGAAGAATAGATCACAATGCAAATACATGCGTAAAGTTCAGTTTTTCTTATAACTGAGAAGATTTGCTTGCAGATTCAGGCATTAGAGAAGAACCACAGCATCAGGAAACGTCATGCACTAAATTTCTACTATCAGGAATATAATTTACAGACATCTATGACTAGAAGTCAACAGGGCATTATTTTGCGCAGCGTGTTTAGATTGAAGTGTAGTCTCTTCACTCACAATTTACAAGTTAGGAGTCCTGGTCTAAGTAGACAGAACAACGTTAATATCGCACGCCACTGATGCCAAGGATATGATTATAGGAGACCTCAAAGAATATTAGAGTTATCGTATAGCTGTAAACAGTAACTAAGCAATAATAATGATGTGGGTTAACAAGAAATAATATATGTTAGCACATCCTCCCTGATCCATGTTCTTTTCGCATTTAACAGCTATGCCATACATGAGTTATAACTGCCATCAAATAAATGTGGTTCCTACTAGACTAAGATGCTTTTACTATGCTATCAAGACTTTACAGTAGGAATAACAAAGATAAGTACTACATTTAATGCATACCAACAGAATTGTTGTACCTGTAAGGTATGTGTTGATGGGTTGAACTATCTCTGTATTTCTTAGCCAGACCAAAATCAATAGCATAAACCTACATGCACATTGATAGGCATTAAATTCTCAAATATAGAAAACTAAATATACCATACAATACATTCAAAATACGTATTTTAACAAGATTAAGCACCTGGTTTGCACGCCTTCCTAAACCCATTAGAAAATTATCTGGTTTGATATCTCGGTGTAGAAATGATTTCGTATGAATGAACTCAACCCGGTTAATCTGGAAAAAATATAGGGGAGTTCTTAAAAATTACTTGGAGAAATGGCAGCAGAAAAGATAGTTTGCAAAGTCAACCAGTGCCTACCATTTGATCAGCAAGCATAAGAACCGTCTTTAGTGATAACTTTCGACTACAAAAGTTAAAAAGATCTTCAAGACTAGGTCCAAGCAGATCCATCACTAAAACATTGTAATCTCCCTCCACTCCAAACCATCTAACATTTGGAATTCCAGCTGTCAAAATCAAACTTAAGTTATAACAGACAATAAATTATAAATAATATTTGGGAAGGTGTGTCCCTATGCAGATTGCACAAAGCACAAAAAAAAGAAAAAAGAAAGATAAGATAATGAATATGATGAAGATTGTCATTACTTCCTCCCTGGAGAATTCTGTACAACTTCGACTCATACAGCAACTGAGGATGCTTAGTCTTGACATTTTCCTATTTAAAAGCACAGCAAGGAACAGAAAAAATGAAAAATAAGCTCAACAGCCCGCACTTAAAGACAAAAAAATCCAGACAATAAAACAATACTCATAATGTTAAGTCATAACAGTATGTCATTTTTTCAAGTTAAATTCCCAGCCAAAAATATCTGTCACGATCTTGAATTGTTAAATGCCAATGTTTTGCTGAGGAGTGAGTTGAATGAACTCAATTGAATAAACAAGGTAGGTTTCACGCTTATCCTCTCCACTAACCTTTTGAGCAAACTTCTTTATCAAGAAAATATCAGAACACCTGCTTATCCTAGGTCTACATCCATGAGACAGTGTAGCAACTCAGCTTTTTATCATTAAACTTGATCCATACACACTATATTTACTTATAGGTAACAACCTATCCTTTGCCTAGTTAGCTGCATCAGCGTGATACAGAATAACAATTTATCCTTTGCCCAGTTAGGTGCATCAGCGTGATACAGAATGACAATTTAGAACTAGCCAACAATTCCCTCTAACACAACCCTATTAGGAAGCTTTTGATCACAAAGCACGGTTTCTACTAATCGGTCAAAATGTTTATCATCTTAAGAAACCATCCTGGCAACCTCTAAAGAAATAGGAAGCAGAAATAACCTCAGTAAAGATAATTCACATCTATGAAGCCCAGACACCCCGAATATGACTCCGACATTGACACGGCGACACCGATAATAACTTGAAAAAATTAATAAATCAAACGTAATCGCAAGTGTTAGTGCAAGTGTCTGACACAGACATGGACACGGATGCACCTTTTTTTAGGTGTCGGTGCGCTATATTCACATCAAGTATACAATACTATCACACCAATGTCACTAAGAATGCTACATGATAATACATCAAAAACTCAAAACCAAAATTCATAATCTCATAAACCCAAGCATAAAATTAACAGCAGAAACTAATTTCACATACAATCATCTCTCCATAAACTCATTTCAGATTCACTAACACTATCACACACAATCAAAGCTGAAATTGTATCAAACTACAAATAAAAACCAATAGATGAACAAAACTTACAAGCTTAATTGCAACCTCTTCATTAGTTTGAATATTAGTACCTGCACAAGAAACAAAATAATAAAAAAATAACCTAAATTATGAAAAACAGGAACAAAAAATTCAGCATAAGAAGAAAAAACAAAAAACCTAAGTAGATCTCCCCAAAGGAGCCACTACCGATCTTCCTACCAAGACGAAACTTATTCGCAACACGAGGTTCCATTGAAAATTAGGGAAAACGAACAATTTCGAAACCCTAAGCTAACCAGTAACAACAATAACGCTTAATTGAAAAAAAGAAAAGAATAACGGAAGAATATGAAAAAGAATTGAAGAAATTGGTGCGAGATCTATGGATAAGGATGAAATTAAGAGTAATTGTGTTTTATTGGTAAAAAATGAGGGTTAGGTTAATCTAATCTAAATAATAGTAATAAAGAAAAAGGGTTTGGATGAAAAAGAAAGCATAAGAAGAAGTGTGGGAATGTATTTGGATAATGGTGTTTGTTGTGTTTATCTCTCTTGCATTATTGTGATGATTGTGATTAGTTGTAGTTGTGATTTTTATCCGGTCGAACCGTTCTTGCAACCATCGGTTCTTTTGGTTTTTTTTCCTTTGTCGGGCTTCAAAAGCATGTTCACGCTTGTTCTCTACGCGTGGTGTCACTTCCATTAGTGTAGGTGGGTGGGACATGGGATGGGACTTGCAAGAGTAAGTTTTTCGCTCTGTTTTCTGTAGCGCGGGGCAGGGTCGCGTGACGGGTTCCCACGTCATTTTGAAAAAGTATAAAAGTTGTAAATATTTCAAGGATTATGCTAATCGGTGTCTGGAACGTTAGTTAAAAATTTAAAATAAGAAAAATATTAAATAATTAATTTATTGAATACATATAAGGTTTTTTTTAATTATTATTTATGATTTTACTGCATTAAATACACATAATTTTATAAAAAAAACATATTAGATTTTTTTAAAAATTATTATTTATGATTTTACTGCATTAAATACACATATTTTTATATATTTTTATAAAAATATGTATTTATAATTGTTTTTAAAATGTTCAACTTATATTTTTAATTTTTTAATCAGTGCACAAGACACTCGTTAGTATTTCTCTATTTCGATTACACTTAGGATTGTCCATGATCTCCTATTTCGATCAAATTGTGTGTTTTTTTGTGTTTCAAGCGGATGCAAATGAATTTTAGATTAAAACAAATTGAAACACGATTAATTATGTGTTCAGTTTGTTGGGTTCGATTTTTGAAACTACACCATGTTTACGTTGGAAAATTACAAATAATCACTGGTCTCAAAAAATACGGGTTACTTGCAAGATCAATCAGTGAATCCTATGACATAGTGTCAAATAACCTTTTGTTATGGATTTTCTTGTATATAAAACGGATGTCTTTGTTTACTTTGAAAAATGGTAAACAATCGTTGGTCTCCAAATATATAGTTTACTAGTAGGATCAACCAGTGGACCCTTAGGACATAGTGCTTAAGGACTTGTTTAATGTTTACTCTCTTTGTGTCTTAAGATTATTAACTTTGACTATGTTCGAAGGAGATGTGTGGGAATAACGTGATAAAAAGTGTCTAAACTTCTTGTAGAAAGTGTAAAGCAAAGGTAAAAATATTGAAATTATTCAAACGGAAATCAAAGGCTTAGGAAACTTTGTATTGAATAATAAACATGATGTTTCATTTGTGCTAACATTCTATCAGTCATTCGCTCGTTTCTCTTAACACTGATACTTTGAGTTTCTTTATGAGATTTTTATAATACAAATGAACACACTTAATCCACTAAAATGAACCACTATATATAAAAGTCCAAAATAACTACCCTAACGTTATTTTTCCTTTGGTTCGTTGCATGCAATTCTGCATGTAATTTGCCTTTCAACTTTCTCCATGTGTTCCTCTGAGATAAGAACACAAGCAAATTATCAAGATTTGAATGTGACAAAAACGCGTCCAAACAACCGCTTCTTCGACCAGCTTTATTTTGATGTTGCCTGCCTGGTCGAAGTAATTGGTGTCGAACTACCCGCTTCAACAACCAAAAATTTCTCTAAGTCCCCAGAGTGTGGTCGAACCACTACTCTTCTAAGACTTTTTCTTGTTTGTTGGATTTTCTTCATTGGTTGAAAATCTCAGCTAACAAATTGCCCCCAAAAATGCCTCTTTCGACATTTTCAGGAGATATGGGAATTTGTGTCCTAACTACCCATTTAATAGGATGACATCATCTCATCGTGTCATTTCTTTTCAATAGTCACCTTAAAACCACACCCTTTTCCCACTTCCCATATCTCTTATCATCACGATGTCGGATAAATAGGATAGGGTCAGCTAGGCATAATAAAACCTACTGACTTCCATTTCCACTTTGGTGACACATCACCCCTCTAACTTTGACAACTCGGGAAAGGAACTGATGAGTCTCTCTCGTTTTCCACTATAAATAAACCATCTTAAAACATTCAACACTTTTCAATAATCTTCTTCAATCTGCGAACAAGGTTTTTAGATAATTTTCTTCAAAGTTTCAAACTCCTTAAAATGGCACCTTCTAGCAAGAATGCTCCATAAAAAGAGAATGTTCCTCACGCTTACACACTGAACCACATTACTACAGTTGGAAACAGGTAGAGACGTCAATTTGCATTTGTTAACAGGGGTCCTTGTGGGAATTATCTGTTTGGAGATCCGAAGTCGGAGATTTTGTCCCCCGCGGGGACGGGGATGGAGGAAAAAGTTCCCCAGATGACACTTTGGTGCGGGGATTGGAGAAGTACCCTATGCCCCACGGATTCCCCGACCCCGACCATAATATTTAACTTTATATTATACAATATATAATTATATAATTTGGCATATTTATTTTATAAAAAGTTAATTAATATATTAGGAAATGAAGAGTCATAAGTGGATCATTTTTTTGTTTTATTGTATAATGTATTAGTTCACCATTGAAGTACCCCATCTTAGAAAATTGCACCCAATACATATAATGTATACACCCTTTCCTCTTCTTCTTTTCTCAATTTTCTTTGTCTCCTCCATTCCTCATCTCCTCTATTCTCATCATCATCAAAACAACCACTTTCATTTCTTCATTTTGCTAATGGTAATTACTCTTTAACTTCAATATACTTCAATTATCAAACTGATTTTTGTTCAATTAATAAATTAGTGGTTATGTTTTTGTAATTGCAAGTGCTTTTACATTTGTTTGTTATTGATTCAGGATGTATTTTTATTTATTAAAAAATGCAAAATATATGTTTAAAAAAAGGGGGAAAAACTAAACATTAGTGTCATAGTTTTGATAAAAAATATATATAATTTTTTTTATGATTCGATCTTTGTGAATCTCTGATTCTCTGTGGGGATGGGGATGCGGAAAAATGTTCTCCCATGGCGGGGATCAAGGACGGGGATGGGGAAAATATTAGGGGGCGAGACGGGGAACGGAGAAGCATCCTCCACCCATTCCCTTCCCAGTTGACATCCCTAGAAACATGGACTATGTGCTTGAACCTCCTAATCTTAAAGAAATAACCCAAGATCTTCAAATCACATGTTCTCATTCTTTTTACCCTTGTTGGCAACAATAATGCTCTTATGGGTCATATGCATGACCCTAAAGAGGATCTTTCTAAATGTAAAGACGTACTCCCTTCATATCATAGGACTAAACTTATTATTTAGTGTTAAGAAAATATTAGATTTAGAATACCAGACCAATGGCTTGCGATAGAGAATAATGATGACTACATTCCTTGGTTAGACAAGATAGAGAACAAGATGAGTAACACATGGAAAGAGATGGGTATCTTTGACATGATACAACTATTTAGAACTAGCCTAACATATTGCCAAAATATGTTTGTCGCCTCATTTTATTTCTGGGATAGTAAAGCAAATAATTTACAACTTCCATATGGAATGTTGACTCATATTCTTTTCGACGTGGCGGCCATAACTGGCCTTTACCCGGATGGGGACGACTTCGAATCTTCTGAACTTGACTCGGACACCATCAACTTTGACAGTAATCACGCTGGTTTCACGAAGTACATTACAGACCATCATGTTAGTGGCGAGCCTGAGGTGACCATGAAAGAACACATAACTTTGCTGGCCTTATGGTTATCCAGGTGTATCTTCTACTGCAAATCTTTAAAGTTATAAAAGAGATACCTAACTCTTGCTAATCAGTTGTACGAAGGAAGAACGTCAACCTTGTCCGGTTGATTTTAGGATCCTTGTACACTACTTTAGGTGAAGCGCCTGAAATTTTGAGGAATATCCAACCTTTAGACAGACTCCTATTTGTTGGACCCTTCTGGATCCTCCAATTGTGGCTTAACGCCACTTTCAAGAACTCCATGAAAGTTAAGTGTCTAGATGATAATGATCTAAAGATTAAAGAACAAACATGTAAAGGCACTCGACTAAGCCTTCTTACTTCGACTGACAAAAGTAGAATGGACCGAGATGCCTTTGCTTAGTACCTGCTAATGTTTTCCAAGTGTCATAACTTTACTCCAAACAATGCTCCCTTTGCCAAGAGAACTCATGGTCCTGACTGGTTTACTTGACCACTCTTAGGCAATGGCGAGAAAGATAAGGAAACCAAGCAGATATGGTTGTCTTTCTTGACACCCAGACTTATCTCCATTCGCCTTGAATCTGTCAAAGAACATGTAAGGATCGTTGCTTATCAACCCAATTTGGTGTTGCTCCAAATTGGTATCTGCCAAACTATCCCTCGTCCTTTTTACAAGAAAAATACTGAACTTTTCATAAGCACTATTGTTTACTCTGAGGATGACTGACTGCAACGGTTCACCCGTCATTGTGATGGTAGACCTCGTTTTATTCCTTTGGACTTCGAACCCAACCATTATTGCACCTCTGTGTTTGACATTTGGTGGAAGGATTATTTATCGTACCTCGAAAAATACAACCTTCACGATGCACGGAATAAGGGTTGCACAACCACTAATGGACTTATGAGAGTCACCATCAAACTTTATTTATTCTCGCGAAGAGAAAGGAAAAATATCGAGAAAACCCACGGGTGAAAGGATAGGGTATGGTCATCGCAACTATGTTAGATTGAGAAGTCGATTATGTAAAGGGAAGATATTAACACCCCTTACATCCATCGTACTTGATGGGAACCATCTAAGTTGTCTAGG